AAGCTCTATTTGTGTGAAAAAGCTGATATAAATTTAATTTCATACAATATTGCATGACTGAGCAATGGCCAGTTAAAGTAGCAGAGTGCTGAACAGTAAAAAAAATGTCCTGGTCATGAAGGAGGTAAAACCTTCCAGAGGGCAAGTGGTTAAACATGTGAAAATCTTAACAAACAAAAACAAAAAAGTTGAAATATTTATGGTAATAAAATAGAAAAAAAAGGTGAAAAATCAGCAGGTAAAAAATAATTAAAGTGTTACTAAACCCACAACAGTAAAATCAGCCTGTATATGCAGGAAAGCATGCTTGTTATACTCACTGTGGAACCTAAGGGGTTAATCCTCTGCATTGTGTAAAAAGGCTGTTTGATCCTGACTTCTCTGATCCTCCCCTTCCAGTGCCCCCCTCTTATCTCCTGATAAGACACATGGTGTGGAGTCACTCTGCACATGCAGAGGTTCAGGTAAGTATAAGGGATTCTCCTCTCTATTTGTGGTCTTCAGGTTTCCATGCTAGGGACATTCTACCCCTCCTACAGTAGCCAGGACTGTGTGTAAAATCCCCTGCTGCTACTGAACTAATCCTTACAGCAGTGGCAGTAAAAGGGTTCAAGTAGAACTATAAACAGAATGTTAAATTATACATATGATTCAATGTGAATCTAGCATTAAAGCATCAGTAAACTCCGCTGTATGACTTGTACCTACAGGTAATCCTATAATAAGTCAGGGGCGGACTGACGATTTAGAAACTCGGACACTGCCTCAGGGCCCGGGGTCAGTAGGGGGCCCAATGAGATGCCCCTGGTACCTTTTTCATAGGCTTTTTTGAGTTTGGGCAAGGACACAGGGGCCCCATGATCCCCTATTGCCTGGGGGCCCCATGAGTTGTCAGTCCGCCCCTGTACTAAGGCATAACTGTAGGTACAATGAATACCTCTTAAACGTGCACTGTTTAGGAGATATTCACATTTGTAGCAGCTGGTGATGTCACCAGCACTTGCGCACTGTGCACTCAAAGGATGGCACACTGGATCGTCCTGTCCATTGAGAGCACAGTGCTGCAACTATGACTCCTGTGTGCGTGCCCAGGAATTACATCATTGTGGCCTAAGCATTCAAACGGCCAGAGAGCACACACCTGGAAGAAAGACCAGGTGAAGATGTGAAGATGGAAGCACCAACAGCAGTGACAGTGCGCCACTGGAGGGCTTTGTTTTAAGGCAAGTGTGTCTTAACCAGCTAGCATGCACATGCTGGCACATTATGACTGAGGGCTTGTTCACACTTGACTTTATTTCTAAGGCTCACTTCACACTAGCTTTGTCAGCAGGCGTCAGACAGGCTTTTGGGACGTGTATTTAATGCTTCTCAAATGCCTATGAAAATTCTGCACATGGCAACAAACAGTGCTGTTCACACTGAAGCATTAGTGTCGCGTCGCTGCAAAACTGGCGCCTCTTGTAGAGTCAGGATTCCCATTCAAGGCTATGGTGCCACTCCTCAAACACCTGGTAGGCATTTGCGACGCGGTTGTGAGGCGTTTTCAGAGCGTTAATACCATTTAACTTCATTATAGGTGTTTGTGGTGCGGTTTTGGCTTGGCAAACACCTATTAACTGCCTAAAACCCACGCATAGGGTGTTTGGAGAGTGTTTGAGGAGCGTTAAAAACGCTTCCCAAACACCTGTCTAAGGGCTCGTTCACACTAGACTGTTTTGCCAACGCTTGCCAAACGCCCCTATAGCGTTTAGCAAGCGTTGGTCCGGTGTTTGCGGAGCGTTTTTAACGCTCGGCAAACGCTCCGCAAATGCCGCATGCGCGGTTTAGCGGCGGTTGCTAGGCGTTTGCTGAGCGTTAATAACGCCCCACAAACGCCTATAATGCATTTGAGTGGTGTTACCGCTCCGCAAACACCCCGCAACCGCGTCGCAACCGCACCGCAAACGCCGGCCGGGCGTTTGCGGAGCAGCACCATAGACGAGAATAGGAGGCTTCAAAGCCTCCTGACTCGACCAGAGGCGTCCGTTTTGCCGCGACGCGACGCAAACGCTCCTGTTAGAACAGCACCATGTGCTGTAATGTGCAGAATCGGAAGAGGCGTTTGGGAAGCGGTAAAAACGCTTCCCAAACGCCTCTCTGCCGCCTGCACACAAGGCTAGTGTGAACGTAGCCTAACGCCTGTCAAATGCTATAGGGGCGTTTGGCAAGAGTTAGAAATAAAGTCAAGTGTGAACGAGCCTTCACTCTTGCCCAACGCCTCTATAGCATTTGACAGGCGTTAGACAGGCGTTTGGGAAGCGTTTTTAATGCTCCTCAAACGCTCCCCAAATGCCCTATGCGTGGTTTTGAGGTGTTTGATAGGCATTTGCCAAGCGTTAAAACCGCACCACAAATTCCTATAATGAAGTTAAATGGTATTAACGCTCTGCAAATGCCTCGCAACCGCGTTGCAAATGCCTACCAGGCGTTTAAGGAGTGGCACCATAGACTTGAATGGGAGGTTTCAACTCCTCCTGACTCAAGAAGAGGCGTCAGTTTTGCAAACGCTTCAGTGTGAACAGCACTGTGTGCTTCCATGTGCAGAATTTTCATAGGTGTTTGAGAAGCGGTAAAAACGCTTCCCAAATGCCTGTCTGACACCTGCTGACAGAGCTAGTGTGAACTGAGCCTTAAACTGCCCGGGGCCCCCACTTTTTTTTTCTAATTGTAGGACTTTACTATCACTTTAACACAGCCAATTATTGTTTGTTTTTTTTTTAGTCCCCTTGCCATTAGATTTCTAAATTTTACATTTCAAAATATAACTACAACCATGTGAAATCTGAAAATTGAATTTGTATACTCACTACTATCATTACAGGTATTAACCCAATAGAGCCAATACTTGACGATATAGGTCCCGTGAGTCCGTTTTGATTAAGACACGGAACGACTGAGACAAGCCCGTTTAGAAGAGGGTTAAAATGGCATTTAGCTTTGACGGGATGTTGCCTATTGATATATGTAAATGAAAGGATTTCTCATTTTCCTATGGATGTCATTTGCATGTTGTAGTATGCAAACACTAACACTATGATTTCATCACACTGGTTTACCATAAAGAAATAAAAATAGATGAAGGTTTACAAAGGTTTAGAAGATGTGTGAGACTTACATTAAGGATAATGCGAGTCTCTACCCTTCAATAAAACATACAGTATATCTCACAAACAGCACAAGCTTAACAACTACCCACCCAGGCCAATTCTGGCATTTCTGTCCTACATGTATAAATCATAATTGTTTGCTAGAAAATTACTCAGAACCCCCAAACATTTTATATATATATATATATATATATATATATATATATATATATATCCCCTCCCTCCTAGATTGTAAGTTCCAAGGAGCAGGCCCCTTGCACCCCTCATGTATTGTATTCTTACTGTGCTGTCTCGTGTACTGTCTCCCATTATAATATATAGCGATAAACAAACTGTTGGCGCTATATAAATACTGTATAATAATAACAATAATATATATATATATTTTAAATTTTTTTAGCAGAGACCCTAGAGAATAAAATGGTAGTAATTTTTTGCAATTTTTTATGTCACACGGTATTTGCGCTGCAATTTTTCAAAGGCAATTTTTTGTAAAAAATACACTTTAATTATTTTTAATGTAAAAAAACACCTCATTTTTTGGTAGACTATAAAAGATGATGTTACCTGAGTAAACAGATACTGAACGTGTCAGGCTTTAAAATTGTACACACTCATGGAATGGCACCAAACTACGGTAGTTAGAAATCTACATAGGCGACGCTTTAAACATTTTTACAGATTACAGTCTAGAGTGTCTTACAAAAAATGTAATGACATCACTTGTAATAGAAATAAGGGATGACAGGTCCTCATTCTGGAGACATCTGGGGTCAATAAGCCACCAAATATCTCCTCTACACGGGAAAGCGTGAGATTAAAAAAAAAAAAAACATTGATTTCTCCTTTCCAGGGAAAAAAATGGCAGTGTTTACATCTGCCAAAGCCAGATTTGACAAACCGATGACACTTCCGACCTCCCAGGATCATAGAGATAGGTGAGGACCATCCAGTTGGCAGCCAGTTCTTTGGTAACCGCCGCCCCTGATTGCAAGGTAGGGCCCCAGAGAGGCAATAGTGGGAGGGGGGAGGGGCCTGTAAAAGCCATCCAGAGGCTAATTATATATAGCGGATTTTATATGACAGGGAATCGCCGGCTGAAAAGAAATATATCTGCATGATACCTGTAGACCCAGGCATCATCCAGATATCTCCACTTCAAGTCCAGGATGTCATATGACGTATTAAACCCCAAACCAAAAAAATGTAATAATATTGCAGCTGACCAATCACTGGATTGGTTTCCTTTTGTTTAGGCTTTACTGTTTTTACCTGGTAATCTGGCCAGTATCACACTTTCTGTATTAGAGTGCCCCCACCCTGGATGAAGGAGCAACAGAGACACCTTTTGACAGCTGCACTGTCATTCTGGGGATAATGGAATGTTAGATGTGGTAGCAGATATAGATACACTGGGGGAGATTTACTAAAACTGGTACACTCAGAATCTGGTTCAGCTCTGCATGGTAGCCAATCAACTTCTAACTTCAGCTGGTACTAAACCCACAACAATAAAATCAGTCTGTATATGCAGTAAAGCATGCTTGTTATACTCACTGTGGAACCTAAGGGGTTAATCCTCTGCATTGTGTAAGAAAAGCTGTTTGATCCTTTCTTCTTTACCCCTCCTCTTGTTCAAATGACCACCTGATACAGACTAAATCCATAGTCACATGCACATGCTCAGCTTGGTGTGTATTGCTAGAGAGGTTTTTTTTTTCTTATTGGGAGAGTGCATGTGATCAGCACAGGGCCAATCAGCACTGTCCAGACAGATGGTCAGAGGTTTCACATCCTCCTAGAGCAGATAGAAAACTCCTCCTACAAGCTTTAACCAGCGCTCAGCTGAAGTCACAAGCCTGCTCTAACTGCTGATGAGAAAAGGTATTTAGCTATTTACATTTACTAATATAATTGCTTTTCTGTGTTCTGTGTACTGTGGGAGACCAGATATAGTGAATGCATGTCCTGTGTTTAGTATCACTTTAACCTTTACCCGCCCGGCCTATGGCCAGATGGTGGCCGGCAAAATTCCTCAGCGTTCCATTTGGACGCCATATGGAGTCCTCTCGGGCATGCGCAGTTTGTGCACCTGCAGAGCCGCGCAGCGGAGCGATCTGTCACCGGCCGTGTACCTTGGACACGGCCGATGACAGATCTGAGTACCGGCCCCGTTGCCGGTACCATGTGACCTGCTGTGACCAATCACAGCAGGTCACATGACAGTTGTATACAAAGGATGGCTTCATTCATGCCATCCATTGTATACTAGTGTGTCTAGCTGTGAATGGTCACAGCGATCACATGCACAAGCTGGGCCAATCATAGCCCAGCTGTGTCATGTGATTAACCGTGGCCAAATCACAGCTAAGCACAAAAAAAAAAAGCCCTGAATGAATCGATGTCATTCAGGTAAATGCTTGCTTATAGCAAAGTAATTCATTGCTATAAGCAAATTGTGTAAAAAAAAAAAAATACTGATCACTTCCCAAAGTAGTACAATATTACTATGGTAACATTGTACTACTTTGGTCATAGTGAAATATGAAAAAAAATCTTAAAAAAAATAAAAAAAAGTAATAAAAAATGTAAAATAATAAAAAAATAAACTTTTTTTTTTTTCATACTGCCACCAGTCAGTGTTCCTGATCACCGCCATGCCAGTTATATGATGACGCTGTACTGCACTGGTGGCAGTATGTAAAAAAAAAAAAAAAAAAGTGAAAATTATTTGTTTAATTCTTTCATTTTCCAAAAAAATTCTGACAAAAAAAATACAAACTTCAAAAAACTCGCCATGCCTCATATGAAGTACGTTGGACTGTCTACTTTGCAAAAAGGGGTCATTTGGGGGATATCTGTACTATTCTGACATTCTTGGACCTCAAGATATTAGATTGGCCATCAGTACTTCAGGATTGATCAATATTCAAATCTATACCATAGTTTGTGAACTCTATAACTTTCCTACAAACTAAAAAATACATCATAATTTGGGTTATTTTCACCAAAGACATGTAGCAGAATACATCTTGGCCTAAATTTATGAAGAACAATTATTTATTTGCAAACTTTTATAACAGAAAAAAAGAAAATTTTCGGCCTTTTTTTGTTAATTTGGAAAAAAATAAAAACCCCAGTGGTGAATAAATACCACCAAAAGAAAGCTCTAGTTGTGTGAAGAAAATGATAAAAGTTTAGATTGGGTACAATGTTGTATGACCGCGCAATTGTCATTCAAAGTGTGAGAGCGCTGAAACCTGAAAAATGACCTGGGAGGAAAGGGGGTAAAAGTGCTCGGTATGGAAATGGTTAAGCTTTGACAATAAAACCTAGAAGCTGATTTCTATGTAGAGCTGCACCAGATTTTGCACTCTCCACTTTTAGTAAATAACCATCGTTGACAAATTGAAGCTAAACCCCAGCTCACACTTTTTAAGCAGTTACAGCAACGTTTTTTTTCTTTTGGGGATTTTTACATTAATAAATAAAAGCTGACCATTGTAAGCACCCCTGTCAGTAGTAAATGGTTGGCCCCAACCCTCTAAAGCCGGCTATAGACAGGTTGAAGGAAAGAAAAATGCATAATCTATGGCCATCCTAACTGCTACATCTGCAGGACAGCTTGTTCTGTTGGTAAATAACAGACTTACTGTCCAGATCACCAGGTGAAAATAAAGGAAAGAAAGCTTAAAGAGTTACTAAACCCACAACAGTAAAATCAGTCTGTATATGCAGTGAAGAATGCGTGTTATACTCACTGGAACCTAAGGGGTTATTTCTCTGCATTGTGTAAAAACACTGTTTGATCCAGACTTCTCTGATCCTCCCCTTCTTCCAATGCCCCCTATATCTTCTGATAAGATATATTGTGTGGAGGTACTCTACACATGCTCAGTTTGGTGTGTATTGCTAGAGAAGTTTGTTTTTTTCTTGCGAGGGTGCATGTGATCAGCACAGGGCCATTCAGCACTGTCCAGACAGAGGTCAGGGGTCCTGCATCTTCCTAGAACAAAATTAAAACTCCTCCTACCAGATTTAACATGTGCTCTATTTTTTTTTCTTTTTTCAGCTATTTTTTTTTCTTTTTCCAGTACATTTGGAACTTTTTGAGGAAGGGGGGAGGGAGAGCAGGTACCCAGTTTTGACAGGTAGCCGCTCCTACTTCTGGCTCAGTCCACTATGAACAAAGCTGGAAGTTCGGGCCCCCTCCTTCCCTTGTAGTCTTTTGGGACACTTCCCAGGTCCCAGAGGAATACGGGACCAATCACAAAGCGCAGCATGACTCATGCATGCGCAGTAGGAAGCAAGCTGTGAAACCGCAAGGTTTCACTTCCGGTTTTCCTTACTTGCAATGCTGGTGCCAGGAACCCGGAGGCTAGTGAAGAACTAGCCTGGGTGTTGATGCCGCTGGACCCCTGGACTGGTAAGTTTTACTAAACCCACCACAGTACAATCAGTCTGTATATGCAGCAAAGTATGCTTGTTATACTGACTGGAACCTAAGGGGTTAATCCTCTGCACTGTATAAAAAAGGCTGTTTGATCCTGACTTCTCTGCCCCTCCTCTTGTTCAAATGTTGCTGGTAAGACAGACTGAACCCATAGCCCTTCTACACATGCTCAGTTTAGTGTGTATTGCTAGAGTTTTTTTTTTTCCTTGGGAGAGTACATGTGATCAGCACAGGACCAATCAGCGCTGTCCACACAGAGGTCAGGGGTTCTGCATCCTCCTAGGGCAGAATGAAAACTCCTCCTAACCAGTGCTCTGCTGAAGTCACAAGACTGCTCTAACTGCTGAGAAAAGGTATTTAGCAGTTTATATTTACTAAAATAATGGCATTTCCATGTTCTGTGTACTGTGGGAGACCAGATATAGTGAATGCAGGTCCTGGGAGACCAGATGTAGTGAATGCAGGATCCTGGAAGACCAGATATAGTGAATGCAGGGCCTTGGGAGACCAGATATAGTGAATGCAGGGTCCTGGGAGACCAGATATAGTGAATGCAGGGTTCTGGGAGACCAGATATAGTGAATGCAGGGTCCTGGGAGACCAGATGTAGTGAATGCATGGTCCTGGGAGACCAGATGTAGTGAATGCAGGTCCTGGGAGACCAGATGTAGTGAATGCAGGTCCTGGAAGACCAGATATAGTGAATGCAGGATCCTGAGAGACCAGATATAGTGAATGCAGGGTCCTAGGTTTAGTAAAACTTAAATGTGGGCTTGTTCACACTAGAATGTGGTGTGGGAAGCCCATGCTTCCCACATCGTGTCCAAAATGCACTGGTTGTGCAATCTGCTGTGGGTGTCAATATAATCCTAACAACACCCCAAACACAGATCATAAATGCAGTGTATTTGCCTGCTCTGGATTGCATGGTACCGTAGAACCATATGAATTGATGCAGAGCAGTGCATGCACGACTTTTGGTATGATCCAGTGCAATTTCAGCCCATTCAAATGATAGGGCTGAAAATCACACCACAGTGAGTCACACAGAAATTGCGCAGGAACACAGTGTGAACTGGCCCTTAAAGCGGAGCTCCACCCAAAAGGGAAAGTTCAGCTTTAAGCCTTTGCCCCCCACTCCCTATTAAGGATTGGCACCTTTGGGGAGCGGTTACCCACATTTGACAGGTACCCACTCCCACTTCCGCTGCGATCACCTAGGCGATTGGAAGCGGAAATTGTCCTCCCCCCTCCCTCCCCGTAGTCTTCTGGGACATGTGACAGGTCCACGAAGACTATGGGGCCATTCAGAAAGCGCAGCGCTTCTCACGCATGCGCAGTGGGCACCCAGCTTTGAAGTCGCAAGCTGTCACAGCCGGGTGCCCACACTGAAGATGCCGGCGTCAGGAAGAGGAGACAGCCAGTGAAACCAACAGTGGTGAGGGACACCGCTGGACCGAGGGACATGTAAGTATCTGTATTTTAAAAGTCAGCAGCTACAGTTTTTGTAGCTGCTGACTTTTATTTTTTATTTTTATTCAGGTGAAACTCTGCTTTAAAGAGTTGCAAAATAGCTGTTTATATGACTCTCAAGAGATAGTTTACCCTTTAACCTCTTCACGCCGACAGTACGCAAATATATGGCCTCTCGGCGGCTGGGCCTTGACGCCAAGTGGCAGCATATTTGTGTATCATTTGTAAACAAATGTGCTGAGAGTGTGCACCCTGCGCATTCCCAGCACATGTGTCAGCGTCCCATGGAAAGGTCCCGATCTCTCCTTGCGATCAGGACCTTTCCAATCATGTGACTGCAGTGACAGCCAATCATGGTGGTCACATGACCCTAAACCGGGTGTCGGCAACCCGCGGCTCCAGAGCCGCATGCGGCTCTTTTTCACCTTTGCTGCGGCTCCGGAGCACACCAGGTGACAGGCAATAGGGTTGCCGTAGCTCAGTGGTCGGCAAGCCGCGGCTATTTACACACATTAATGCGGCTCTTCTGTGTGCCGGGCGCCCGCTCCCCTCCCTCCTCTCGGGCGGCCGCCCCAAAAGTCAGGACTCTGCAGCTAGCCCAGCAATGGGCAAACTACGGCCCCACGGACCTTTTAATCCGGCCCGCGGACTGTCAGGATGTAGGGGGGCAGCGTGACGAACTCCTCTCCTCTCACAGTCCGCCCTGAAGACCGGAACGGCGCGGGAACACGGCGAGAGGAACGCGCGGAGCAAAGGTAAGTGAATTGATACAATATGGGGAATGAATTACTATATGGGGGATGAATTACTATATGGGGGATGAATTACTATGGGGGATGAATTACTATATGGGGGATGAATTACTATATGGGGGATGAATTACTATGGGGGATGAATTACTATATGGGGGATGAATTACTATATGGGGGATGAATTAATATGGGGGATGAATTACTATAGGGGGGGGATGAATTACTATATGGGGGATGAATTACTATGGGGGATGAATTACTATATGGGGGATGAATTACTATATTGGGGGATGATGAATTACTATATGGGGGATGAATTACTATGGGGGATGAATTACTATATGGGGATGAATTACTATATGGGGGATGAATTACTATAGGGGGGATGAATTACTATGGGGGATGAATTACTATGGGGGATGAATTACTATGGGGGATGAATTACTATATGGGGGATGAATTACTATATGGGGGATGAATTACTATGGGGGATGAATTACTATATGGGGGATGTATTTTCAGTTTTAAAAATGTGGCTCTCAAAATAAATTTCAATCGTGGTTTTGGGAGATTTGGCTCAGTTGTGAAAAAAAAAGGTTGCCCACCACTGACCTAAGGCTATGATTGTGATTATGACGATACACTGTGGCCCTGATTAACCCTTTGCTTACTGGGCCCTTAAACCCCCTTCATGACCAGAGCGCTTTTTGCAATATATGCAGTGTCGGATTTGTTTTAAATGTTGCAATGGTTTTGCGGCTCCCTGTCTTTTTTTTCCCTCTCGGAAACGGATCCAAGTGGCTCTTTATGTCTTAAAGGTTGCAGACCTCTGCCCTAAACCCTGCCCCCACCATCAGAAACCCCTTAAAGGGCTGGGAGGCGCCAGCATGAAGGGGTTAAAATAATTATAAGAATTTATAAGAGCCACAGGCATAATGAATTATAGTGCAGCCTGTCACTAGCATTGCCACGGCAGTTTTTGTGTTTCAAAGTTCCCTCATGACAAAGATTTTTTAGCCTGTTGATACTACTGGGAGAGTCTTTATTTTTCCACTTTCTGTAATGGGAGACAATGCCGATAGTCCATAAGTAAAGTTGACCAACCACCGTAACTAAGATTTTGCTGAACAGTTTGGTCTTATAAAGTACAGTATGTGTAAAAAAAGAAACACTACTGACAGGATCAACAGGTAATAAAGTCATGTTACAAAGGAAATGAAAAAACAATTGCTGTATTAATGCTATTGGCTAACTGCCATGTATGATTTTTTTTTTTTTTTGCTTAAGGCATTAAAATGTTGCATACCTTACATAAGTAATATGTTATATAAGTAGTTCAAAATATCATATGATGCAAGAGAACCAGAGAGGGAGAATAATCATTTACATCAGGGGTGTCCAACCTTAAAGTGGAACTTCTCTTTCTCAGTCAACATGGACTATTTTTAATCCTGATGCCGATAGCATTAATAAATAGATATGAAAGTATATCTTATAGTGTATATTAAACTTTTTTTTTTTTACATTTCTTCAGTTACTTCTGGTTTTCCATGCCTAGCCGAGTGTCTTACATCCCAGGAGTCTTCAGGAGGAGAGAAGGGGTTTTCTTAGCTAAGTATGCCCCCCTGCCTGCATGTCTAAGCTACGGGCAGATGGATTCCAGGAAATAAAGGCTACTTGAATCATCTGCCCTTACTCAAGGTGGCCATGGCCAGAAATGGTACAGGGTGTTTCTTAGCAAAATAAAGCATGGAGACATGAATGGATAGGTAAGCTTGCTTTGAATATTAAAAATTAATTAAATTGTGTTTTGGTTTGTGGTGCTCAGATGCAGTCAAGTTCTGCTTTAAGTTAAAGTGTTACTAAACCCACAACAGTAAAATCAGTCCTGTATATGCAGTAAAGCATGCTTGTTATACTCACTGTGGAACCTAAGGGGTTAATACTTTGCGTCGTGTAAAAAGGCTGTTTGAGCCTGACTTTTCTGATTCTACCTTTCTTCTACTGTCCCCCTTTTATCCTGATAACAGATATTGTGTGGAGTCACTCTGCACAGGCTCAGCTTGGTGTGTATTTCTAGAGAGGGGTTTTTTTGGAGAGTGCATGTGATCAGCACAGGGTCAATCAGCACTGTCCAGACGGAAGTCAGGGTTCCTGCATCCTCCTATAGCAAAATGAAAACTCCTCCAACACATCAATATCTGGTTGGATGGATGTAGTAGCAATTCTCAACGAATTCTCAAGGTGCTCATGAGATATTTTGGTTCTAATTTTGCCCTTTGTGTGCTTCATCCTTGAAAATAGTTGCTCACAAATATAGGTGCTGCTGAAAACTGATGACATGAATAAAGCATGATTGTAACGTGTGAGATATTTTTTTTGGAGAAGATAAAATTTATAAAAGTCTTGTAAAGAGACACTGTCATTTTTTTTTCCAGCCGCATGTGTTCACTAAGTGTAAACTCAATTTTTATAAAAGATTTTTAAAAAATCAACAATTTTAAGTAAGCTTACGATTTTGTGTTGGGGCCGCATTTATAACCATCTTGGGCTGCCCATGGGCCGCAGGTTGGACACCCCTGATTTACATGAGTGAAAAGTATAGAAGAAATGAGTAAAAAATATTTTTTAGTTGTAGGGGGTAAGAAGAAATTGACATCAGTCTTTAAGGCTGCTTTACTAAAGGCAAACAGGCTGTTCATGTTGCAGAGAATTTTCACTTTTGATTAGTGAATGTGGTAAAAGTTCATGTCGCAAAGAATACCCTTCCATGTGCAAAGAAGATTAGCTTCACTTCACTAATCACTATCAGCTTCATTCACTAATCTAACAGAAAATTCCCTTGCAATGTGAACAACCTATTTGTTTTTAATAAATCAACCCCTATAAGTACATACAGGACCAGAATCAGCATGGCCAATATAGGCTATAGCTTATATCTGGTAGGGCCGCCGGTGGCACACAGCTACCAACACATAGAATATATTGACATTCATAATAAAGGGTTACAGACTGCCACCCTGTCTGCAAATGCAATGTTGTTGGGTCCTCTTTTTGCTCTCCTTCTACATTGTGTGCAATTTTTGTTGTTTGAATGATGCATTTACAGTTCACCCTAGGCCTGTACCCTTGGAAAAGAACTGTTGGCTGAGTAGGCAATAGCTTGCCCTATTCTTCTGATCAGCATTTCTAGATGTGCTGATGCCAATAGCTCAATGTGCCTTTTGTAGTTGTGACATCTTATTAGTGGGATACTAAGGCTAACTGGCCAAATGGGGTGGTACAAGGCCTAGGGGTACAAAGTATAATTCTGTCCTGGAGTACATGGGTGGTATGCGGTACATCTGTCACTTTTAGTACGCCATGAATACAGCCCAACTGGCAATTAAATTAATTGAATGGTATCAAATGCCACTGAAGACTACATGTACAGTATATACTTTGTCCTTCCATGGCTGCCTTGCCAGACAATCTCATAGCCGGACACTTCAAGGATATGACTCAGGGCAGAGAATAATAAAGCTATGTGTGAAAAAGATTTTAGTTTAGTTGTCTTCTTCATTCCAATTCTAAGAGATTGTTTTGCTCCACCCTGTCAATTTTCTTCTCACAGACACTTGACAGCAGGAGATTTAATTTGCTGAATTGCTGAAATAGAATAACAGAACTACCTGTCACTCAGCCTCAGGCCACTGACTGGGGTTTACGTGGGCATATAAATCTCCTTTTCCTTTTTGTAGTGGACATAGGTTATTTTCTGTTGTTCATGCTGTTCTAATATAATGCTATGCTATTATTATATTCATTATTGTTATTATGGCTGTAATACTGTTGCTGTTGTTCATCTTCTTAATATACTTTTTATTAATTATTATAT